AAAGAAATACACAGAAAGATATGCAAAGTCTAGTCTTTAAAATGGTCTTTAAGTTTTTTTCCTTCCAACTAGCATGATGTCAGACTACTGTTGCCATGGTTTAAAGTGAAGAGATGCAGTTAGCTACTGTTTTGCTGGGCTCCTTCTGACTACTTATAGATCAGCTGTAAATGCAGGATAAACTATGATCAGATTTTGATACATTTGTAATTTGAAAAACATAATTCACCTATTATTGTGTAGAGAGTAGTTTCAAACAATTCTTCTTGCCTCAATTGCTCTCCTGTGTCCCAGTATGTACAAGGAGGCTTTTCAGCAAAATGCAGATCAACAGTTTTAATCTCTGAATTCAAGAAGGCTTTTGCAGATGTTGAATTCTACATGTGTGAGTAATCCCACAGCAATCCACACGTGTTCTGGAACAGCACTACACATGTGTCCCAATAGATCTCACTGAAAATAAACAGCATCCAGCTACCAAAGCAGTCATCCTCTGAAATTTAACAGGTTCATTTCCAGCTTTATGCTCTAATAGCCTACCAATTAGGTCTCCTTTTAAAATGCCAGTGGCTAGTTTCTCAACAAAATTTCATAATTTAGTGATTGAGAATGTAGTGATTTGCACAATACATGCAATTGGTTGACTAAAATAAAGATTACTAATTTTTGACATTCACCTGAAGAATTCTTTCCTGGTGCCACACACTCTTCAGTGTGCCCAAACCCCCAAACATAAAGAAAACATGACTCATAATCATGGCTCACATTATTATCTTTTCTTTTTTTTTTTAAATCATGCTGCAGAACCTTATTTCAATTCATTCTCAGTATCACAACAATAGAATTTGCAGGAAGGGAAACCATGGTAACCAATTAAATGTGCTACAGCAGCTATCTGCTCAAAAGAACATGCAGTACCATCACACTTCAACGCCTACCACTAGTACACTCTCTACCCATTTCCTCTTTATCCTTATCCTAATTATTAAACAAGCTCTACACCACAAAAGGCTACATTGCAAACCATGTCTATTGCTCCTGTCACTTGCTACAGGTCTTAATATTAAGCAATGTACTAATCTTTTGCCAAATTTAAAAGCAGATCTAATAGCTCCAGAAGTGAATTGGGAATTTTCATTCTTTTAATCTGTTTGGAACACTGAATTAACATTACAATGGATTATATATATTTTTATTCTGAGACTTGCTGACATGTATGGACACAGACACATATCTATGATAGTTTGCTCATGTTAGTAATTTTTTTAAGCTCAAGAGTACAAAACATTTTCAGTGGCATTCTCTGATTGATTAATTAGTAAAGATTGGTGAATGCATCCATGATGCATTAAATATAGGTAATTAAATATAAGTAACAGGCATTAAATATAAGTAACTGATTTGCTGCTCTCAGTTGTGTTTATGCTTCATTCTCCTTTATATGGTATCTGAGCTGACACAATTTTACAGGCCTTCTTAGGCTCTGAACATCAGTTTTATTTGAAGGACAGCTCTGAATATTTAGTCAAACTTCTATACCTAAAACAACATTTAAATTATCATTTTCCTTTTCTTTAAGAACATACTTCTACCTCTCTTACAAATTCTGAAAAAATTATTTTCTGAAAAAAATCCACCATCTTTTGTTTCAAATTTAGATTTAAAAGGTAGCCTGCCTTTGAAAAAATCATGATGCAAATTAATTGCACAATAATGGATGAAAGTAGACAAAAATAGCTCATCATAAGATGATCAAAATGCAGCTTGTTATATAAGTGGAAAGCAGATTTTACAGTAACTCAACAGCAAGTTTAAAAACGGAAAAGTTTTTTTGAGTAAGAGTTACTTTCTCTACCTTACAAAGTAAAAATATTAAAACTCTTCACTTTGAACTCAATTAACTATTCCACAGTATTTCACTACAAACAGCTGACCGCCTTGCTTAAGCTTGCAAAAAGTATTATTTTTCCTGTCCTATATTTGGTCATTTAAGTGGTGCTAGGCTATGTCTGTAGCTATAGCAGCTCAGGAACAAGACCTTTAGATCTACTAAAGCTAGTTCCATAAAAGCACCACAGCCTAATGCTTCACAGTGGTCAGAAACTCATTTAGAAGGGTTTAGAGAATAAAGAACTAAAACACGTGGCGCAGTTCATCTTGAACAGGATGTGCAGTCCTGCCTGGTACAGGCACTGAGATTTTGGACATCAGCTACAATAGCTGGTGGAATCAAAGGTAACACTGAAAGTGCTCCATAATGATTTGACGAATTGTCTGGCTTGGGTACTCAGGACAAATCACAAAAAGCTTGTTCTTCTCCATTTCAGAAAAGAAGACTGGAAACATTTCATTACAGAGACGTCATACCTTGCCACAGGAAGGGATATGATCCTGTTTCACTAAACTGCTCTTCACGACTGGATGCACTGGGTTTTTCAGGATTCCCAGGCACGCTGACACAAACACAGGAAGAAGACATCTGCCAGAGCTGGACGTGCTGGGCCGTCTGTCTCACTGAATTGCCTGCCTCCCCAGCAGAACCATCGGCAGCTACAAGCCAGGAAACAAACCTGTCTCAGTCTCAACATCAGCTGCTCCTACCCAGAGCTACCACAAGACTTTTATGTCTCGACGAACCGGGATTTCATGATGCAATCACACCTCATAGGCAGTTTCCAATTTGCCCTAATCAGATCTGCCACACTGTCAAAGACTGACACATCAAACAACAAACAGCGAGAGAGATTGAGTAGATACACAGAAATACAGAGGGAACCAAGTATTTATGCCAAGAGTTGATGGCACCTTCAAGAACCTAAATTTTACTCAACTTTTTTACCAAAATGTGCCTGAAAACCTATCAGAAAACAAGGATATTTCATTTTATGTTTTGTCGCTATGTTAGTGCAGAATTAGAGCACCTCTAGAGAATTGCTGGGTTAACTTCATAAAATTCTTGGAATCTGTTCTGTGTCTGTTTTTTATGTAACAGCTGACCAAGTTTTCTTTCCTCCCACAACTTCTAAGGGGTAAAACAAAGGTAAAGAAGGAAAAGCAAAAATCATACTAAAGTGATCTTTAATTTAACATGACTGCTTCAGAGACAGAGTGGCACCTAATCCTAGTATGAAAATACCAAATTGGTTCAAATACAGCTAGAAGAGGATGGGTGAAATTAGAGACCCGGAACTCAATCAAAGCCTTCTGTTGAACTTGGAAAAGATTTGCTCATACATACTATCCTACTGACAAGCTCTGTTTTTGGCCATGGAAGTGACATTCTTAAATTCCTGCTGGGATTATCTAAACTGCAGACAGGGCCATCTTTGCCATCTGGCAGTGTAGTGACCCAAACACAAGTGATGCTCTCAAAAAATGACAGAACTACACACACTGATCATGGCAATCACAGAAAACTTCTCACAGTCAGGATGCAGAGAGAGACTGCAGAAAGGACCTTGTTTTTAAGAGGTTAAAATGTCAGAAACAAAGTGGGCATTTTGGCTAATGGTTATATTCTGCATTTATAATTCCAGGGAGAGGAAAAATAAAAACGGAGCAAAACTCTCCTTCCAGTCAGTGGAAACACAGACTTCTGCTACACTACCTAGCAGTGACAAAAAAAATCCTAGTGGTAAAATTCCAATGTGTGGAAGACAGAGCACCACAGTTCACAGAGTTCCACCTAAGGTATGAGAGTTAACACCCTCATTCATACACTCTGAGGGCTAACAGCAAGACAACTGAGCATTATCTGCTGTGGGAAGGAAAGCAGCCACCTAGACCCACTGCCCTTGATACACGAGTCATTTAGCACTTAAACATAATGAAATGGCTGCAAGATGCTGCAGTTTCAGTTTCTGACGTGTTTTCTCAAACACTGAATTTTGTCAAAATAAATCAATGATAACAACTTTGCTATAATTTGAAACCTTTTCCCAAACTGATCACTAACAACTAGCCATTCTTTTCTCTGCTTGGTATAAAATTGATTTTATTGTTAGTCTGTAGACCCTGTGCCTTCTGCACCATTGGAAGCAAGGGGTGGGAGCTCTTCCTTCAAGCCAGGTGTTAAAACAACTGATTTCTTTTTAGAAAAGAATATTGCAAGAGCAGAAGATGATGAAATTGAGTATTATTTTAATAAGAAATAACAAATTTACACTGTTAATGAAAGTCAGTATAAATGTCAATAATGTTTCTCTTTGAAATCTTGTAACACAGAAACAAATATCCAATGAAAATATACTCCTTTTTTCCCCTGAAAAACTAGTTCATGACAACCTATTATTTCAAGAGATTATTACTTTAATTATAATCTTACTTTACCCATATAAAACTTTCAGTAACTGCATTTTCTCCTTCAATGTTTTTTTGTCCCACTTAGATTTAAAACATGGCTAATAATCACCATCTCCCATCTGTACAGCACAGGCCAAAATAACCTCAATATCTTAAAAGTAATTAAGTTGTTTAAAACTTACAACTATTTTTTATTTGAGTTTTTTATTTATAGCTGACCCACTTGCCAGAACTTTGCAGAATGAAGAAGCAGATCTGCATACAAGAAAGGGCCTCCTGATTTGTTGCCATCCCATGGAGAGACTAGAGAGAGCTGAGTGCTCTTCAGCAACAGCTACCTAGCCAGTGCATGGCACACTAGTCAGGGGAACTCATAAGATGCCTTTTATTTCTTGTTCACCTGCTCTCCCAGCATCTGCATGGGGCCACATCTGTATCCTAGTGAGACAAGGGCAAAATGAAGCTCCACCAGCAAAACCACAATTGCTATTATCCCGATGGTGCAAGCAATAAGGAACGATAGCACTTCAAAAAGGGGCAGTGAACGTTAAAGATACTGAATCTGTAACTAGGGTAAAAAAGTGTAATGATTAAAAAAAATTAAAACAATCACAAAGAATTTTATGTTCTGAGGTCAGCAACACAGTAAAATCTCCTGAATATTTTATGAATTTAAAAATGAAATATTAATTACTGACCTTAATGCCAAAGTGTAGGTTCCAGGTTGCCTTTGGCTTTCACGAATGAGATAGCTTCCCTCTGCAACACTTAATAATTGGTCAGCTTCCTCCCTTGAGATCATCCCATGGAATCTAAGGAACAAAAGTGTTTTTGAAACACATGCTTCACACACTCTTCTCTTTTAAATCACTTTTTGGTCTTCTTTAAAAAAGCACCAACAATAGTAATTAAAATGACTGATTTTCAGGAATTTAGTTAAAAGTTAAAAGTTAATTTCCTTTTCTGTCTGTATTTGAAGTTACTTTAAATGGTTTAAAAAGCTTCTAGGAAAGAGTATCTATGAAACAAGTACATTGTTTTAAAATCTGCATCTATCAATTTAATATATAGAAATAAATCTGTTTTCTCCTGCTGGCTTCACATGTTTTGTGCTAGTGGCATGCAGTCAAACATTTTAAAGCATTTGAGGATATTTTATGCAGTCTCTGAGATTTTAGCAAGTTGCCATAATCTCAGTAATTGCTGATGTAATAACCCAGCAACACTACACATCTTTTGCCAAAATAAACATAAGTAAGATCTGCTTTGTTTCTCCACACTAAAGCTAACCATCTTTGCATTAGCAACTTGAAAGAGGAGACACATATAGATCCAAATAGCTTTTTTTCCTTAACAGAAACACCTTTTTTCAAAGCCAACTGGAGAGATGGAAAAAGCCAATCCCTTGAAAGTACAGAAACATATGTATGTTTTTCTCAATTAAAGTACCACTCAGTGATATCCATAACCATCAGAAATTGAAGCTGTAATTTTAGGTAGACAAAAGTGATGGCACTGTAATAACGATCTGATGGTGAGAGACATTGCTGTAAAACACACAGAAGAAACAAAGAGCACAGAATTAATACTTGACACCTTTTCTGCAACTATTATCAACCAATATGTCAGGATAAATCACTTTCAGAGATGTTTGCTACTTACTCTCTTCCATAATATTTGGGTCTGTTCTCTACCTAGAAGAAACAACAGAAATTGTAATGTTTCATAACAAGAAAAGCTATACAGTAAGTGGACTGTCTACAATATAGCATTAAAACCAGAAAGGGAAAATGTGAAATGTGAAAGTGCAGGCAAAAAATAATCTACAACAGAATTTCTCCTGCAATTAGAACCTAGGGAAACCAAAGGGAGACCTTCAGAAAATAATTGCACTTGTGAATGGCTTAAAATGGAGGGAGAAAGGATGAGCCACTTGGATCATGTCATCCTTGGGACTCTGCATATACAAACTGATGGCATTAAATATTGCTTTTACAAAGTGCCAGAAAGGGGAAATGAGTTTGCATTTCATGCATGTAAGTGCCCCATATTGTTGAGTGCACTAATATAGTGAAACATATATAAAACCCTTTTTTTTTAAAGAAGAGTTACCTTCCATCACAGAGCTGTTGGTGTCCCTGCTGAAATAAAGCCACTACTATAAAGCTCTCAGAGTGAGGGCAAAGGGCTGAGTGAATCACCAAGTGCCTAAGTCTTGTACTCCTTGACTGCATTAAACTGTGTGATCTGCAGTATCTCCTGGAAGACTTCAAAAGCAGATGTGCATGTGTTGTGTAGTGTCACTCTACCTTGTCAGTGCTCCAGACACCTTATGGTGTAAATGCACACAACATACAGAGGTGTCAGGGTACAGGTTGCCTGATAACTCTTTTAGAGGAAGTAATCAATCTTCATTTGTCCAGGAAGTTTAAAGCCAAGTAAGGAACAGCAGATCTCACAGAAACCAGCTAATAATCTAAACTACCAGGTTATCCTTTCTCGCTAAATTTAAAGGGGGAAACTCTTTGGGGAGTAAAAGTCAACAGTTATACAATCTGAACTACAAAAGTATAAAAGAATCCAGCTATGCTGAAACCCAGAATGCCACTTGTTTCTTTTTTCCAACTTTTCAACAAAAAGCCTATTAATATTAGTGCTTCTCTCCCATTTTTTCCATAGAGTAGAAAGTTTTCAGATATCCAAAACAACATAAACCAACATACATCCTCATGTACAGTCTAATAACAATTCTTTGACATTCCCAGCAAATAAAAAGCTATTGTAATGATTCATCACTCTGGAAAAAAACATTCCATCACTGGAAGGATTTATCATGTTCTAAAATATTTCTTTTTCCTTTATAACAGCAAACAAGAGTTGACTGGTGTGATAGCTGTTTTCAAAGGGCCTGAAGAGACTGGATCACTTCAAAAGAAAAGAGGTCTTAGATATTTTTTGTTAAATGTAGGCTATTTCTTCAATAAGATAGCGACATAAACAGAAAAAATGAAAGCTTTTTATTGTTGTTGCTATAGAAACTTGCAACAATTCTTAACTAAAACCCTTAAGCTAAGACACTAGTTTAGGGCAGTTGTTAAAAGAAGAATCCTGTCATGAATAAGATTTTGTTGTCTGTCTAGTGAGATTTTATATTTATCTCAGTGAATTTATAAGACAGAAATGGAAAATTTATATGCACAAAAGCATTCCTTTTCAGAAATGGATTAGTAACTTGACAGGTCATCTTCAGAGTACTTGCAAATCCTAAGAAAATTTATAACATACTCTGCGCAAACTTTTGAAAATGTGAATGGGCAGATGACTGGAACAAAGCATCTGGAAAAACCTCCACAGGACTTCCAGGCATTTGTAGCTAGGCTTGCAGTTCATTTTGGTGGATGACGAGTTAAAAAGGAAAATAACCACTTCTGTTAGCAGTCTCTACTGATGAGTTTTACCAACTTGCAATAACTTCAGAATAAATATTGATGTGCAACACTTTTTGCTTGCATACAACTCAGTGCAGCTGGAACCTCAATTCACTGAGTTTTATTGCCTGTTTATTTGTGTTTTGGGGTTTTTTCCCCATCACTGTTTACATTTATGATAATATTAGAGGGTTTTGACATCTATATTGACATACATTAAGACTTTAAGAAAATTCCATTAGAACTCAGCAGGGGCCTTCTAATTCACTCAGAATGACTGGGCTACATATGCAGTGCAGTTTGTGTGCACTGAGAAAACCACACAGACTCCCTGTAAGCCAAATTTACCATGCAAGACAGCAAACATTGTTCTCAAGCTTTCTATAAAGCTTCTGACAGGTGTTATTACACCAGCTGTACCCTTTGCAACTTAGACATAGTGTTTTTTTATTCTTATCCTTAACTGCACTGGAAGCAATGTGCAGCTTTCTTGGTCTTTTGTGTTTCCTTGGACTTCAAAAAGTTCCTGCCAGACTGTATCCTACAAAATTAATTCAACAAATGACAATCACAGGCACCCATGTATCCTCCCTTTGCACATGAGGACTGAAAGTCAAACAGTCTAAACAAAACAGTTTAGTTCAGAAGCTTCATTAGTCTAACTTTCTAACTAAGTTAAGGAGAAAAAATGAAAACATCTGGACTGGAACTAAACCCACATAAGAAAGGAAATACATTTTAAAACAAGATGATAGCAAGAAGTCAGTCCTATCAGCTAAAGCTGATAGATGAAAAGACAGTGTAATTATACTCCGCAGAATTTTTTTCTGATTTGGCAGTATTTTCGAACCAAAGCATTGCTGAGTGTGTGTAAGGGCAGCCATAGCTGCTTCTTTTTCTTTGTATCCAGCCTGTTGACTTCTCAGGATTTTTCTTGTGGGAAAAATTTCCTATTGCTGTTTGCTTGGCAAGGTTTTAAAAACCTTCTAACTTGGAAAAAAAAAGGAGGAAAAAAATGCATGAGACATTTGTTTTCAATGTGTTTATCTGTACACCACTAATGCCAAGGGAAAAAATTAAAGTCTCCCTATGATACCTTCAAGAAACACAAAGATCAACAAGATATCCACCATTGCTTAATTTATCATTTTTTTCAAACTGAGGTGTGAAGGCAATGAAATCAAACTTATGAACAGACAAATCAGGCAGAATTAGCAAGCACCTTATAGCTGACATTCCTTTGGCAAAGACCTTAGCTATCATGGAATTTGGAAAGTCGTCCTGGTCAAACATCATGCAGATAAAGCCACCTTTACAAACAGCTCATTATATATGCCCATCTATTCTGTGTTTCTTGGCCATTTTCACAATACTACACAGAGATGCCGTTTGACAGGCTTGTTAACTATCAGCACTGAATTAGGATAAAGCCTCCTAAAAGGACAGAAAAAGCCAGTGATTTTAATTTTCTCCATACCGTGTGTTTTTTCATATAGTTATTTAATATTGTTCATGCTTTCATATATCAGTGAAAGCTGCCCTAAATATGCCTATGCATGCACATGTGTATATAAGATTGTATGCACAACAAATATCAATTTCATGAAGGAAATACAGTATTAACTGGACAAACAACACTGTAATATGCATACAAGCTCACGCAGAAGTCAAATAGCCTTAGAATTAGGCTATTTGTTAGGGAATTTGTTATAATGTTAGGGAATCATCAACTTTAACCTCATGGAGTATTGAAAGACTTGGCTCTGCTGCACCTTCACAATAAAAAAAAATCCCAAATGAATGCAATGCTCTTTTTACTTCAGCATCTCTCCACTGATCTGTGTGTTGCTCTGATATGAAACTGGTGTAGCAGAGCAGAAACTTGAATTCTTTGTATTTGAGAAGCATTTCAAGTTAAGTAGGTCATTCTCTTGAATACACCTCTCAGTATCAGCACTTGTACAATGTGCGCCTTTGCACATGAAATAAAGGGTTGGGGTTTTTTTATGGTGTGGTTTCAAATTATTCTTTAACAAGTGCTTTTTCCCTAATCATCCCTCCTGCTTTTGTCAACAAGTGGATTACAATAAGTCATGAAGAGCAATTTATGTGCTAATACCTCACCAAATTACATATTGTTCATTCCTACTGACCTCTTTGATGTTTTCAGGACCAAAATTTTCTTCCTAATATTTATGAATTTGTTTATACAGCTGAATAATTCAAGCACTCAGGAAGAGATTCTGCTCCCCACTGACTCATGCATGGCTGCTAATAGAAACCCAGCTGAGAAAGAACAGATCACAAAGCTCAGCACAAGCAGGAGAGGCTCAGACCAGAGAGAAGAGTTAACAAGTTACTGCACACTGAATATATTTTCACTTCAAATCAGCTCAGCTGCATAAACTGGTCAATACATATAATGAAAAAGTGTTATCTGCATTATAAAGAATTAATGCAGAAGTAGGAACTTATAATGTACTTCTTCAATTTTACCTTTATTAGTTAAAAATAAGCTTCCAAGAGCTTTTTTTAAAAGAAACTAATTCTTCAATGATAAAATGTATATTTAATATTCTCTGTTCTACAGCTAAATACCTGACTGATTCTTTCATAGTTTTGTGTTTACTTCTATTCTCACTAGTTTCTAAATCTGCAGCTTTTATTTCTCAGTTTCTACAACAATGTTCATGGTGCAGAAATGTGTTGCATTTCTTTCTCCACTGGTGACAGGACTTAGCAGTGTTTCAAATGATTATGATACTTTTGCAAATCCCCCATTGACTGTAACAGGCTAGAGGCCACCGCTCTCCCATAGGAAATTTTCCTTTGTAAACCAGTCCAACTTTTTAATTTACTATCTCTATTAGAGCTAATAAAATTTTCCAATTAACAGAACTGAAATTCAGTGAAAATGAGGACGAGAAAGTTGTAGTAGTCAATGTGATTGGTATTTGAAGAAGATTTACACAGATGCTTTTAAATTTGGCTGGCAGTTTTCTTGCTCTAGTCTAAAAAGAGGACAATCTCTATCTGATTAACAGCTGAACAATTTCCATCACCCCAGAGGCAGGAAAAAAAATTAATTTTCAGATACTGAATACACATTTATATCTCTGCTTATTTGACTGTATTAGCTAATAGTATTCAAAGAAATACTATGAAGAAGAACAAAGCATGAAATTTGCTTGTGAGTTCCTACCACCTGGGACAAAGAACCCCCAAGCCCTTCTCTGCAGCCAAACTAGCCTGACACATCTTACTGAATATCCCAGAGTCCTTTATCAGTTTACCCTGACTACAGAGTATATATACTTTGTGCAGTCAAATAATTACAAAATAATTAAAATTTTCATATTAAGAATTGTATAATTTCCTTAATTGTGCTGGTACTTTCAATTATGGGTTTGGGGTTTTTTTCATTTCTTTGTTGTTTTATTTTGTTCGTTTTTTTTAAAGACATAAAGAGGTATACAGAAAAATGAAGGTTCTAATTCTCTGGGAATTAAAACATTCACAGATGAGATCCTCAAAGCATCTAACTGAAGAAACAGAAAAATCTTCACCCATCACCACAAAAGTCAGGCAGCTTTATGAGCATTACACTGTAAGTCTGTCACTATGGGAGTAAACTACAGCAGGACTCAGAGATAAGGATCAGAAAAGAAAAGGCTCCTGTGATTGTACAGGCATAATGTCAGCACCTCAAGGAACAGTGTCAGAGGGCTACCAAAAATCTCATCAAGGTTTTACAATATGCCTGTGTACACATAACCACACACATACCACCACCTCTTCCACCAGTGAAAGACTTCTAAGGAGAGGAAGGAAAAAGCAACAATAAGCACAATCCATTGGATGCAAGGAATAAAATACTTTATCCTATCCAGGTGAGCACTCGTTAAGCCTGTATTGTAATACTACGCTTTTACAAGACTTCAGATACTTATTGTATTGATGTAATGAAAAAATGTACCATAGAGAGCACTCAAATTAGAACTGAACCTTCTTAACAATGGAATTAAAAATTGGGGGAAAATCCCATTTTGTCACAGCTTGGGTCTTATCTTCTGTAAGTTTCTTTCCTTCAAATCTGCATCCAACTTTATTTGATGCACCTAAGACATGTGCACAACAATTTTAACTGGAATACCTCTGCTTTGATGCTCATTAACAGTAGAAATCCTTGTCAAAACAAAACTTTTTGCTATAATTCTTGTAAAATTCATGTATTGTTCCTTCCTGTAGCTACATCTTGATTAAGCACAGTAAGTTACAGCTATATCTTTTTTAGAAATTTCAAAGTAACAGAGGAAAATGAGTGCTTCCATTAAATGCAGTACTTTGCTTCTGTTAAATCACTAAATTTTATTTTGAAGTTGACAGATTACTTCATAGAATTATAGTTGGACTTTTATAAAAACTACAGAGAACTGTCTAAGAGCCTGTATAATTCTGTCAAGTAATCCTCCCTGTCATCTAAATTGTAAGCTATTAATGTTCCTTCTGGAGAGTGCTACATCCTTCTGTATTTAATGCTACATCGAAGCAACTAACATATCTCAAAGATCAATTTTATTTCTCTTGGCAAATGATAAAAATACTCAAGTTTTCTTGCAGCAATGTAATAACTTCCAGTTATTCAATAAGAGCCGTGTTTTGTAATACTGCCTAACGTTTCAGCATTTCTGAGATTTAAATGAATGTTTCCCAGGTTCTTCAGCAAAGCTGCAAGATGGGTGTAGGTATGACTAAACCTTGCTGCACCAGTGCCTGGTGCCAGCTAAACCCTGGAGCCCCACAGCCCTGGAGAGGAGCTGCTCTGCTGAACAGCAGCTCAGGGCACAGCAGGGTCTACCTCAACAGCGGATCCCATGAGCAGTGCTCCCGCATCACTGCCTATCGATGGGATCCCATTGTTACCACTTCAGTCCATAACATCTGTGGTCTGTATAGCTTAGCTCCTGCTATTTATGAGTCTTAAGTACTATGACTCAAACAACAGCACCAGGGGTGGTTTTAGTCTTCCCTCTGCTAATTTATTTCACATATCTAGTAGTGATGTCGTAAAGAACAGGTGCATAGTTCCCTGCACAGCTCTGCTCTTGCTTCTGCAAATTTCTGATGAGAAAGGGAGGAGAAAAAGTATGTTTCCATGTATCTAAGAATCAAAAAGTAGTAAATGATTCTTAGTAAATGATGATACATATCAAAATGCATTAAATTCCATTTTTAGAACAGATGGATTTCTGAGTACCAGCACCCCAACTACCCACTCTAACCACAGCACAAAGTGGTCCCAAGGAACCACTCTGGGCTGGACACAATTAAGTACAGACATGGAATTACTGGACTGTATAGAACTGAACACCGTGATACGTACCTCACAAGTGCAGGTTATTCTTCTAGGATGGGGAGCTTCCTGTTGCAACTGATACACTGGGAGGAGGCAGAAGTTAAATTCTAATTAATACAGAATCATTGTGCAAGTTAGGCATTTTAACATTAAACATTGTGGTTTAAATAAGGGAGAGTTTCTGCAAAGTTTAACACAAGGATACCAGGGATATAAAAATTTACTAATAAGTGGTCAGAAGAAAAGCATGTTGCAAGCCAAAATGGGATATTGATTTTCTTTACAACAAATTGATCAAGTAATATGGAATAACTAGGTGAAATCAGACAAGTTTCCAACAAACAGATCAGAAGAAGAATCATAATAGACACAAATTAAAGTTCATTATATGGCAAATCAGGCTGCTGTCAAACTTTCTTCCATAAGCAGATGGAACCTAATCCTTCTATGCTGGGCACACACCCAGTCACCTGCAATATGTCAAGACTTTGCAAGTATCACGCAGAATGCCTTCACCACTGATCAGTGAGGACCTGTCTGAAGAAAGAAAGATCGCCTTTGCATTTGCAGATCTAAAGACATAGCGAGTTGAGTAGCACAGTAAATTAGCTAAGGCCCAAATTATGACATACACTTACTTACCTTTATATCTTTCATCCTTCTTTTTCTCTATTTTTAAAATAAGCTTCATCAAGCCAGAACAGATCTTTGCAACCAGATGTAAATTTAACGCTACTAGTATGTACAGACTTTCTAGTATAATACCAAAGAAATTACTTTCAACTTCTATGCCAACTGAATCTGGTTTGGCAAGTCCCCTTCAAAATGAGGCTGTCAACACTAAGTTAGTATTTCAATAGTACACTAGAAATAGAAAAATGGACATTCGGAATTGTAATATTTTAAAATTAAATCTCAATCACTAGCATGAATACCAAGGTCTACACTGTGCTATCACCTTCTTCAGATAGTAAGACCACACATTAATTTAACCAATACAATTTGACTTCATTACGATTCTCATTTGATGCTAAGTCTTTTCCACTGGCAAATGCTGTATTCATGTGTCAACCTATATGGGAATAGAGAAAATGGCAAGATGCCCAATGATCACTGAATCATAAGATAAACTGGGGAAAAAACACTCCCTTTGTTCCAAATTAAAAAACCTAATGGTTTTTCCTGTTGCTACTAAAATCAGTCATTTCCATGCTGGGCTGGTAATACAAAAATTATTTTTGCAAGTGATGAAGAACAGCACACTGGTATATAAAATTGCAATTATCATTTTAGGCATAGCATGACCATTTATACTGCCAGCAAATAGATTCCCTAGCTTCCATTGTAAAAGCTGTATTTGATGGCACTGGACCTTGTCCATGTCTAATTCTGAGAACTGCAGAGCTAAGTTCAAAGGAAAACAAATAAAATGAAAGGACAAGTTAAGATTTTTCTGAATTTCACAAAAGAGGAGACCCACAATCAGCAAGCTCCACAAAAACTGGCTGAAAACTGAGAGCTATTTCCCACCTTACTTCAAGCCAGGCTGAAAAGATTTTCTGAAAGGAAATTCTTTTTCACCAATGGCAATACCTTTCTCCTCTTCCAGTAAGAAGCACAGCAGGCTGACTAGCTAAGTTACAAAACAGGATTCCTATCCCTCCTCCTCCTCTGAGCTATGCAATTCAAACAGTTCAACACCAGCTTCCTTGCTGCAATTATTGCCAGGGAAGTCAAACAAGACATTTCTCTTCGTCTGTCATGAGACAGAAATCTAATCAAACCTTGGGATTCAGAGCTTACTTCTGAACACAGGAAGGTTCACCATGGCAGGCAAACCATGATGCTGCAGGAGAGTGGGTGCACACAAACCGTACATGCAAACCATGATGCAGAGTGGGTGCAAGCACATTTGCACGTGCCCAGGCTTTCAGCTTCTGTCAAGCTGCCAATGGAGATCTGACATTAGAGAGGTTCAACCTCCCTGTTATAGATTATGGAGTGGAATAAACTGAACAAGGAAGTAGTGTTCCCCGAGTTCACAGGAGGTACAGAGCTGTAAAACATAATCAAATCTGCCCTCTTACACTTGCTCTCTTTCTAACCATGGTTCTCACTTAGCCTTTAATTCCACATCTCTGATTAAAAAGTCTTCCACAGCAGGATGGAAACCTTTTAAAGTAACTACATTTTCTCAAGTGCTAAATCTCCTCAACCTTTAGAGAGCAAACATTTTCACAATGTGAAATGTTGCTTGAGCAAATCCCTTTATCCAGCCTGAAGACACCAAGTTGAATATATACCAAGTAATGCAAATGTAAGTCTGACATCCCTAAACTGTTAAGTGTGTTATACACACAAACATTCTGTTTTCAAAATCTGTTTTTCACAGAAGATTCTTCTTTCTTGCTGTGGTTCCTCAAGTCTCAAAATGTCTCACATCTTGGGTTTTCTATCTACAAAGAACTAGAATTTATAGCTGAGCCACTATGGGAAGCTACAATGCTCTTTTACATTTTTCTCATGTTCTCTTCCATGTCCCTAAACCTCCATTTGCACAGCCAAATAAGAGGTCATTCCTTTACATGGAATTCTTCTGCATTTAAAAATGTCTGTTTGCTGTTTTGTGGGTTTGATTTGGGTTTGGTTTGTTGTTTTTTTTAAACGAAACAGCAAGTTGTGAAGTTCCCAAGCGAGTGGCACTCTGATCTCAGGGCAAGGCACCTGGGCTGCTGCCCTGCACACCTGCCTAAGACCCCAAGAACTGGAGAGCATGGGCAGGCTGGTAGCAAACCAGGCCCTTCTAGGCAGGGCTTCAAAAAACCTGCTTGTGATTTGTCACACCAGGCCAAGCATATGCTCTTGTTTTACTATATCAGCAAATTCCTGAAGAAAACAATTTCTTTTGAGTTCTCTTAACCACCTCAAGCTCAGCTCTTGTGATGCAAGGCACTAGATCACAGGAGCCCTAGATGTCTGCAAGGATACCAACTTTAAGGCATGAATGGAGTTTATGTAAGCCCTGATCTAGGCAGACAAACCACTGTAAGTAAGACCAAGCAGGAGTGGGACAACTCACATTAATAAGGGGCAGAGAATCTACTCTTCTAAATGAATATGAATCTATGTTCACTTGTCCCTGGGGGTAGTTCAACCTATCTCTAAACAGAAGTGAGCCTTTTTGATGCTTCTGAAACTCACATTCTGATGAAAAGAGAAATTAGTCTTTTGAAGCATCCAACTGAAACCTTTTCAGCTCTGACTTGGAAAAATACCCCCAAACACTGAGATACTTACAGTAAGACTTCCAAACAGGTGGTCTGTATTCATCAGTATCTAAAAGAAAACAAAAAATCTTAATGTTGCATAAGAAACATTTTAACACAGAAAAAACTTGCAGAATTATTGAGATAATATTGCACCTAGGTTCTAAACTTACTTCTTACTATTACAGAACAATCTGTTAAAATTTCCCCCTTTTTACTTAAACTAAAAATGTGAAAAGGTATTTTCTTTATCCAGCTAGAATAAAAACTACAGAAACAAATCTGAAAAATGGCAAACATGCAGATCAGAAGCCAGCATACTGTGAGGAGGAAGGAGAATGCATATTATTTTACTATGTATGTGTCTACAAGTTTCATTTTCAACTACACCAGAAAGATTTTTTTAATCTCAATTTATATTCCAGTAAATGAGTTTCCATGCAACTTATTCCTGCCATTAGCATTTTCCTCTGCTGGATGGCAATTAACAACTCTTAAAATAAAATCATAGTATGCAAGGATGGCGAAATATTTTGGAAAAAAGAAGGGTTTTTTTTCCCCTACTGAGTACAAGCTCTTTTTGGAAGTAGTGAGTACATACTAACTAAAAGTACCAACATATTTCTACTCCAAGATTTTAATTCTCAAAATTAAAAAAAATAAAATCCCAATTTCTTCTAAGTTCTGTCACCCTTATGACTTGTATTACAACTGATCTGACATTTTGAGCTCGGGGCTATGCTGCAAACTTTGACTCTGATCCACTGTTTTACTGCTCTGACCAGCTTCAGTTCTGATGCCACAAGTCACCGAGGCTTTCAGCAAGATGCTGTGCATATCTGCCTTGGAGATGGTGAGAGTTATTCCATCCTCCCTGCACCACAGGGTCGCAAGCTGAGCCACCCACACAGCCAGCCTTGCTGTCTGAAGCCACTCCTGCCTGCAGTGCTCATGCCTGAGCTCTGTTTGCTCTGCTCACTGGAACTACCTGCTGCATCCAACAAAGCGTGAATTTCTAGTTTTCATTACAAGTTTACATAAAGATAAAGCAATCTCAGAACCTGTTGCTTTAATTTTGGCCTGAGTAGCATCTCCACTTGAGAGCCCTTCAGGCCTGCAAAACTGAGCCTGAAGCTGAGATTTTCGTTTGCCTCCCCTTAGAGTATGCAATCTCTCCTCTTCAGATACTTGCTGCAGTCCATCTCTCACACATAGTCATGTTGAAAATCTCTAAACTAGAGCTTAGTGGAAGGAGATATTTTCCAGTTTAACAGGCACAGACTTTGCCAGACCCTGCCAGAACACTCCCTGCCCTGACTGCACTGTAATTTTGTTCCACTTTTTACCCCATATTTTAGCTCTATGCATGAATAGGGCTCAGTTCCTGCCAGCCACCATGGTGGCAGTGGGTTTCATAAATACAATTCATTATGACTTTATTATTAAGGCAGTTTAACTCAGTTAAACTGCCATCCCCCTGAATATGATGGGGTTTGATCTTTGGAAGGTCCTATAGATGCTCTACCATGTCCTGCAGATCAACAAGAACACCCTGAACCTGCAGAGACCTTAAGCAGCTCATGCCTCACTGTGGTAGTAAAAGCAAATCAGCAGCAACAGATGCAGCCAGGGTTATTCATTCCTACTTTGATACCTTTAATTAAGGCAGTGCAAGTCGATTCATTCCAGAAGCATTGTAACATGATCCCTCAGCAATGCAATGTCACATGGAAAAGGGGCAAAACTCTTAAGTAAAAATAATGGCTTTCTCCCAGAAGACAACTCTTACTCCACCACCTGAATTTACTTTTGATATACTCCGGGTTTTGGCAATATATGCATTAGTTGAATTCAGAAATAAATAATTTAAGTAAAGGACAACACACACTGTATTTTTAAAACATGAGCTGACTGTTATGAAAATAGAAACATCTTGGCAGTCTAACCTATACCTCCTCACACTCAAGCCATGCAATTGTTACAGCTAAGGGCATCGTGGTTATAAAACTAAAAAGTGACAATATTTGTGCCAAACAAAAAACCTCAAACCTTGTTAAAGTCAGGCAAGAACAGCAGTTACTTTCATGCAAGAAATATCTAACATTCAGAAATGGGAAGGAATGATTTATGTTATGCAGCTGTGCAGAAGGATTTTGTTAGAAAAAAATCTCTCGGTGAGCTTTATTGCCTTTGCAGTGTGAGAATACCCTCCAGCCATCCCACACAAGGTAATGAAAAAACAAAAGGTCACTTCTATTGTGATTTTAAAAAAAAGTGTAGTAGCAAACACAAGCACAGTGAAACAGTTAAGCAGAGGTTTGTACTGTTTGTTTCTAAGCAACAATGTTTCTATTACTAAAACTTTCCTACTACCCAAAGATGAAATAGAGTAAGCATAAACACCAGCTCTGTCTATTAGTAACCTGCTATTAAAGGATAACTGATGTGGTCCCATTTAATACATCAAAAGTATTTAGAAATTCATTATTAGATAAAGGGTTTGATTTTCAGATAGTACAGGCCTCCACATACGGCATCTCCAATTAGGCATCTGAAAACCACTTACAGGCATGATAAAAAAAAGTTCCACAGAAAATGTGGAACCCAAAATACATTTTCTCACTAATGGTGCAGCACTTTCTAATTAACACAATAAACTCCACACTGTCAGTTCTCAGATTTTTTTCACAGTAACTCAGCTCTGCTAAATGTTTCTAGGATAAAATAATTTTCTACAAGCTGTGCATCAGGTTCTATCTTAACTGTATTTTCTGCCCTAAGTGAGATGCAATTCAACTTAAAGCTACTCTTCTCCAAAGGCCTAGAGCATTACAGGAAACATAAATACATAAGCTGATGCAATCAGCTCTGTCCAGATGCGATCCTACCAGCACTGGTCAGAATTTACCAGTATGAAGGCACTCTCATCAGCAAGGATATTTTAGACCAGGGACACTTATGTGTCATATGTCCACATATGTACATGGACACATATGTCCACTTATGGACATATGTGTCCATGTACATAAATTGCAATTTCAAACTGAGACCAGTCTCAAGCTGACAGATACTTTCCCTCAGAATTAGCTGGGCTACAAACACAGTGCAGATGATATGTACTTAAAAACCACAGAGTTCCCATAAGCCAAATTTACCACGAAAGACAGTAAACACTTTTCTTCAGCTTTCTGTAAAGCTTCTGACAAGTGCTGTTACACCAACCTTACTCCGAGCAACTCTGACACAGTGTTTGTTCTTATTTTGGCAGTTTGTACAAGCAATATTTAATGCCATCAGTTCATATATGTAGAATCCTAAGGATGACATGACCCAAGTGGCTCATCCTATCTCACTTTGTTTCTTTCAGAACTGCAATGTTTCCTGAGAATCTACCTTTGGTTTCCTTATATTCTAATCACAGGAGAAATTCTGGATACTCAGCACTTGCTTGCCATCATTTTCTTTACTCACAACACATTCCTCTCTTTTCCAGGACTTTGCCTTCCCCCAGCCTTAGCAATCTCTACCTGCATGCAAGACCTCTCCCCTCATCCTTAAGCAGTGCTCTGGTTTGCTTCCCAATGTTGTCCTGTTAGGACTCACCTATCCCTCCCTATCTGTTCAGCATCTCATTCTCAAGCCATCTTGTCTCATCTCATCTCTTCTCTAAGGTTCCTTGCAATTTGATTAAATGCAGAGAAAACAGACACAAAAAGCTCAGAACAGCACAAGAGGCAGCTTCTGGCAACAGTCAGAAATGTCACAGTGGGCAGAATTGCTCCCTGGGTCCAGAATGCCCTCCTCTGAGCACACCAATTCCCCCTCCCAAAAAAAAGGAAACCGTGCATCTCGAGCATGAGTCGCCTGCAATAAAGAAGGATAGACTGACATCAGAAATACTTCCACAGAAATGGACTTCTGCCAATAGAAAATCATACAGATACAGCCATTTAGAAGTTCATATACATTCACAAACGCTAGGAGAACATCTCAGATTTTCCATAAACACAAATGTGACTAATTGTGACATTACATTGTAGCATTGCCCTTCGTTATATTGCTTCTTTCTTACTCACTCCTATTTTATCCACTATATAAATCTGGACAACTGCAGTACTTTCAGAGTGTACATTTTAACTACAGATAGGAAAACTGTTACTATTGCTTCAAACTGTTTCTAGTACTTGTCTTTGTGTATTCCTTTTAAAGAAAGAATAAAAATGTTTACCTCTGCTTGAAATGGTTGTTTCTCTCCCCACCAGAGATCAGTCAGTTCAAGGGCAGAGAAGCAGCAGCAGCTTAACTCTGCATGGTAACCCCATAAAGCAGTGTAGGACTTACAGAGAGATTTCCCATAGAGAATTCAGTTTTATTTAATTTTTCAGTTTATTTAGTTTTATTTTACTGGATGTCAGTACCTTGGTCATCTCTAACATCAGAGATTAATGCTGTCTGGGAGGAAATAATCATCTATCTGCTGAGATACTAGCTCTTACCCCAACCTTTGGTTTTATTTGATAATATCTCTATTGAATACAGATGAGGCCTCAGATACGGAACTTTGTGTTAGAGGCCACAAAGAAAAGCACAGTTGAACAGAAAAAGTAATTTCATCTCTGTTTTTCAAAGTATAAGTGCCAACAGCATTTCAGAAACTAAACTCAAGCCATCACAAAATGTTTTCAGCAGCAGCCAATCAGGCCCTAGCAGTGAAGGCTTTTACAGACTCTAACCAAAATGTAACTCAAACAGCACTGAGTTAATTGAAGGATGAATAGAGCCACTGCCTTAGGCAGCAGCACTAAAACAGATGGGCTACAATTCCATGGTTTCAGGGCAAATATGAGAAGCTGATCCTTGGCTGCAGCAGCACTGGAAGTATTTTGCAGAAGTCCCTGTGCAGCTGGCAGCAGGAGGGGAAGATGGTGCCAGGCAGCTTCTAGAGAGGGGCAGCAGGGAGAAGGGTGCAGAAAACACCAAAACAACCCTGTCTACAGCATGTGTGGTGAAGAAGGGGCACACAAACACACCAAACATCCTTCGTTGCTCCTAGACAAGACCTTGGGATGCCTCATTCTTTGCACAAAGCCTCTTTCCACCCCTCTGCTACCAGGGGCATTAAGTCAGATGACAATCTGTCTTGGGGTAGTGGGCAAGAGCAGGACCTTGATGCAAAGAGCATGTGTCACATGTGTGGTTGCTGCCCATTACATGTGGTCCTGTGGAAAGCAACTCGCCCTCCCATGGCTTCAGGGTGCCCCATACAGCTGCCAAGGGCTGCAGAGAGCTGCACTTCAGTCAGTGTCAATGGACAACACAGACAGCTGTGGTCGGCTTTCTTACCTGGCAAGAAATGTTTTCTTAGAAACAAATACTTTTTCAGTATTTAAGTCCTTCAAAATGATACTCTGGCTCAATCCTGTCTTGCCTTCACCTTTCCAAAGCAAAGGAGCAACAAACTATTTCTGACCAAAATATCTTGCATGGGCTTACAGTCCATTTAAAGATATGACATGCAACTTTTTGGAATATTTCTTTTCTCTTGAACAAAACCTCTTATACTGTTATTTTACAAAAAAAAAGTTGGGGTTTGGAAGTCACTGAATAAAGAATGTTAATCCAAATGTAATGTTGCTCTATAAGTGACTTCAAACAAAGACATAAATGGCAAGAACCTGATGGCACATATGGCCTGGGGCCATGTGGAAAACGCTTAGGGTTTCACAGGGGCATCACAGAATTTTCTTTGTTTATGGGAAGATCCCCACAGGGCTGAGAACACCCCAGGCAATAAGCACCGTATTTCTGTATGTCACTCAACAATGATGACTGATACTTCTAGAATGTTATTGAGTCTTTGATGCT